GTTTACTCCTACTATTGTATCTGGAGCATGATACAGTAAGTCTGTATAAATAAAATAAATTTTCAATGATAATTCTGGTAGTGTTGATATGTTATTACCAAGTTGTTGTTGTTATGATCTTACTAATTGTCTTAACATGTCCATACTATGGTAACCACTGCAAAAACACAAAAAGGCAAATGAATACAGTACAAGTCTTCGTTACACGCCGATAGATGCATTACATGATAGTGAGACTACAAACAAATGGTGATGGTTGTGGGGGTTATTCACTATTATCATCATAATTTCAAAGTTTTTATCAAAAACTAAAGAATGTTGCCTAAAAATAAAAATAAGATAATGTGGCAGGTACCGGTAAACATTAATAGACAGTAATGCTTGTAAGAGTTCAGATACCATTACTGATTTGCTCTAGAGAGTTGACTGCCACAAGGACAATAATCAACTTGGGTTACCCAGCTTTAATATTTACAATAATTATTTTTTAATTACCGTATTTTATGGCAAATATGAAACACCCCCATCTTAGCAGAGAAAATTTAGGAAAAACTTTAGTTTGTATTTTCCTCCTGTAGCCATAGTTTTCTTAAAAATAATATATAAAGTACTGTACCAGTAAATATGAGGAATAATTAAAAATCATACCAATAAATAATTAAAAAAAAATGTATTGCCAAACCAGTAAATAAAAGCCAAATGAAAGTTTAACACGGTCGCCATTTGAGTATAAAGTAAACCTCGATAAATTGGACTTCAATATATCGGAATTCACTTTTTGGGGATTCTGAGGTGCTCTGGTCACCAGAAATAATAATAATAAAAAAAATGTTTTAAGAAATGGGTAAGATTAATAATAAAATCTTATGAAATGAACCACACTTACTGAATACTGTACAGAGGTCGAATCAGATTTGCTATAAGCCTACTGAGAACTAAGACACTTGAGTATGTTAGCAGGCTGGGGCTAATTGGGCGTTGCTGCATTCGTCAAGTTTATTTATTTATTGATTCAGTATCATGTTCTCATATGATTGGCCTCTTATGTAATTTATAATATGACTTGAAAAAAAAGGATAAGCTGTATCAGAAGGTTATTTACTCAAGATGCATTCATGTGACAGCTTTCAGTAGACCAGCTTATAACAGGGGTCACTATAACACACCATACAGTATTTAATATGAAAATGATATTTACTACCTTAGAGTGTTATATGTTGGCTCAATTTGGCTACTTGTACACTTAGACAACTGATTAATGAATAAACCAGGGTATATATAGATACACAATACTGTACACTACAATATTACTTATTAAGTGATGATAAATACACTACAATATTACTTATTAAGTGATGATAAATACACTACAATATTACTTATTAAGTGGTGATAAATACACTACAATAGTATTTATTAAGTGGTGATAAATACACTACAATAGTATTTATTAAGTGGTGATAAATACACTACAATAGTATTTATTAAGTGGTGATAAATACACTACAATAGTATTTATAAAGTGGTGATAAATACACTACAATAGTATTTATTAAGTGGTGATAAATACACTACAATAGTATTTATTAAGTGGTGATAAATACACGACTGTACTAATTTACTTAGTGTTGAAAACAGACATTGTGGTAAGCCAATCAGCTGTTTGCCCTTTGTAAACAAATGAGACAAATGACTCATGCTGTTCAGTGTAGGATTCTTTTTTCAGGAAAGTTGATTCTTTTAGGATAATATTTTATCAACCTGGCACCATATGAACCTAAATTATATGAGAATTACGGTGAAATTGAATAAATAAGTGTTAAAGGAATCTTGGGGGGGAGAGAGAGGGAGGGAGCCACCCACCCGTGCTACCTCCCCTCTTTTCTGCCTGCTGCTCCCAGATATACACTCATCTTCCACATACATGACAGGCAAACCCCGTTATTCATAGCCTCGGTATTCTTAACCCCGTTTATTTGCAATCAATTTATTGTTACCCATTTCCACTATTCACAATGGTTGCCCCGTTTATTCACAAATTCTTACGAGCAAAAATTTTGATCCGCGCCTCAACCGTAGCGTAGGACAGTGTGTGTACGTATTCCTCCGTCATACGCTCCCGCTCGCCTCAGTCTCACACGTGCTGGCGTGTGTTTTGTGTGATCTCGCAATGCTGAAGCGACCAGCTACTAAAACTCTCAGCAATGTTGCTAAGAGATCACGTGTGGCAGTTACGTTGGACGTGATATTGGATATCGTAAAAAGACATGAACATGGAGAAGGAACATCATTGATTGGGCGTGCGCACCGCTTGACTCCCTCTGCGGTGCATTCTATAGTTAAAAGCGCCGACAAGATCAAGGAGATGGCCGGGTCTGCAACACCACTGACGGCTACGAAGGTGACGAGGTTCCGTGATGCTGAGATGGAGAGTCTGGAGCAGATGTTGAGTACGTGGATTGACGACCAGACCCAGTGCCTTAAACACAGTGAGGAGAGTGAGGCTGACGACCCCAGCCTCCTCTCACCCCAGTAAACCTTCACCCTGTCCCCTAATGCCAACTTCAGCAAGCAAGCAACACAGCACATCAGAGGTAAATTAACAGTCTACGTTAAAACTTACCTCACACACCTAGTATGCACATAAACATTCAAACACTCACACACTCAAACATGTAAAGTATACTGTACTTGTAAACATTCACGCCTAATAAACTCAGAGTGTTTGTTATTGATGTTTATTTGATATTATGCCCTTGTTTCTTCATTGTATGTTCTAAATGTATTGAGTAAAACAAGTGATAAAATCTGACGGCCGTGACCACCGCGATGCCCGTATCCCCTCTATTTACATTATTTCTTATGGGAAAAATTGTTCAGCTATTCGCAATTTTGATATTCGCAACGAGTTTTATGCCCGTAGCCTTTGCGATAAGTGAGGCAGCCCTGTATACTCCTACACTTATTTGTTCTCAGTTTTATCTTTATAGTACAGTAGAGCGTCAATTTAAAGAGAATCTTTCCTATTTTATGCGATTCAAATCTGGCACGGATTACCCCGGGGTTAGGTTACAATTTCCAATTTTCAAGCTCAAAATAAAAAAAAATGGGTCGTAAGCGCGCTAAACAATAGCCCGCCAAACGATCCACCACCACCATCCCACCTCTCTCTCTTCAGTTGCTGTGTTGGTATTGTCGGAGTAACATCTGCCTCTCGTGTGTGTTAATTTAATGCTCTTAAACCTCTCTCATACTCGTTCAAAAGTACATGTAATTTTTTAATAATCTTGATCTACAAACAGTGTAGACTTTTAAAAGATGGAGTATACAGGGAAGAACTTAAATATGAGCTGTCAGAGGAAACTAGTAATATATGGCTCGAAATTTTTTTTAAAGTTGAACAAAATTAATGAACTTTTTTCCTATACCACTATCTAATGTTGACAGCTTAAAATTACACGATACTTGCCCAAATACGGTGTTCATTGTACCGGCACTAAACTATAATCAAATTAACTTGGCACCTATGCCACAGCCCCCCTCCTCATAGTTACCCAATAGGTTAAAGTGATGTTTGTCTTTCAGTCATTCAACAATTATTTTTAAACTTTTTTTTTTTCATATTCTCGCAAAGCAACTGTACAGTTATCATCTGAATTAATGTCTGAAAGGGAAGAGGTGAAAATTTGTGCATTAAAGTGTTATAAAGTGAAGGCTTTCAGTATTATTTTGGTCATTTGGAGGTCCTTGTCACCAATGTAACTCCTAATCCAACTTTCTGCCACATATACACAATTTGTTGAGAGAACAACAACGTAATATGCAGTAATATCTATGTTAGCCAGAATCCCTCAAAGCCGGAACTCTCAATAGCCGGAAATGAAATTATCTCAGAAATTTTTTCCCAAAACCGGAATTTTCCGGTAAATTCCGACTTTGGGAACAATTTTCTGAGGGGCACATTTTCTGAAAAATTCAGAGAAAATTTTCCCGACACCCAAAAGATTCCAGAGATGGGGGAGATTTTTCCAGGGTTGATAGATGAAAATCAGACGCATTTTCCAGAAATTCAGAAAAAAGTTTTCCGGAACCCAGAAAATTCCGGGTATGAGTGATTTTTTTCCGGCTTTGAGAGATGATGTAATGGTCAATTTCTGGAACTTCAGGGAGCATTTTCCATTACCCGGAAAATTCCGAGGATGAGGGATTTTTTCCGGCTTTGAGAGAGTCATCTCGTTACCCAAAAATTTCTCATTCCCGGAAGTGCTCTGCACCAATTGTTCCAGCTAACAGAGATATCACTTCTCATTTCTAAACTGGCCTAGATATGAAATGCACAATTTCTTACATTGGCACCATTGCCAACCCTTTCGTGCACAGACAGGCAGGGCAGACCGCCTTTAAATTTTCTGGCTACTTGAGGTTTCAATGCCAGCCACCAACAGCCCATTGGAATCTGTGGTGAAAAGAATCATCAAGCCTGCGCTCTCACTGGAACAGCTGAGCAACTGGTGGGAACACAGTCACTATTGTCAGTAGTGCAAGTAATGTGTTCCCTTAGCTAATTGTGTGTTCTCCCTTTTAAATTTAGTTTCCACCTTGCTCATCGCAAATTTTTACTCTCAATATGTAGAACAAGAGAGGGAGATGGTACAGCACTGTACCATGCAGAAAAGATGTTTCCACCCAGGGTTTCATGTGGGACAGGTGACCAATATCACTCTTAACTTGCCAAGCACTTTTTACTACAACGTCAACCAAACATGTTCATTCTCAATTACATTCAGGGGGTAGGGCATAACTGTCAAGTTAATTTGATTCTAATATAGTGTAGGTATGCACTCCACTATCATGTTGGTATGATGCATTTATACAGATAATCTCACACAAGGAATATCCCAAATCCGACAACAGCCTAATAGCCACAAATACGAAAATGGCAATCAAAACATGCTTAAAACTGTTCATAAATGTAATGACAATACAATAAAAGAACAAACCTCTTGTTGCATCTGCTCATTCCAATCCGGTATATAAGCAGCAGCAAACCAGCTTCCTGGCAATGGGTTATAAACAGGTAGGACAGTTGCATCATGGGGTTGAAATGCTGACTTTGTGCTGATCTGCAATTGTGGATGAAGTATATTAATAAGGAATTCCTGTCTATGTACTCCTAATTTGTAAAAAAAAAAAAAAAAGTCAACATAGTTCCTGTTAAATGGACTCACAACAACTCGAACATGGAAAATGTCTACTGTGAAGCTTGGAGTAATTTCACGAATAGAAAAATCCACAGTAGCTACAGTACAGTCATCCCTTGGTTATAGCACATTTGGTTATCGCAATTTTCGTTACCACGCCTCCATCAAAATCTGCACACCTGCCGTTATAGCGCATTTTTCAAGCCGAGAATTTCATTATCACGCAGTTGCCTCCAGGTGTATTGTTACCCACTTGTTTCACCTACATCTATTGAGGATAAAATCTTTCACCTACAAATTGACAATAACACATTTGCTGTAATCAGACATATCTAAGTTGCCTCAACAATTGCAACCCCAGATGCAATTTCAAATTCTGTGTCATTACTAAGGAATAACAAAGTCTCGGGTGCACTCTAAGATTGAGAGAAAACGGAGGACTCAGGCGTCCTGAAGCGATGAGAAAATGGACTCCTCAGACGGGGGACTCAAATAAAGAAAGCATAGCTACATGTTTTGTGGACTACAGTGTTGAGCATACCATTTTCATCATTTTGTAATAAACCTAGCCATGCGTATGTGTGTTTCTGATACTTACAATAACAATATATATATCTTTAGTGGGTCTAAATGGTCGTAAAATGGGAAAATTGGGGTTGGGTCTTGGGTGCCTGGAACCAATTAGAATAAATCCCATAGGTTCTGGAGGCAAATGCATGATAACCAAATTCTCGGCCTGAAAAATTTGCTATAACGGCAGGTGTGCAGATTTTGATGGAGGCGTGATAACGAAAAATCCAACCAAGCAACTAAGGATGTATATATATATATATATATATATATATATATATATATATATATATATATATATATATATATATATATATATATATATATATATATATATATATATATATATATATATATATATATATATATATATATATATATATATATATATATATATATATATATATATATATATATATATATATATATATATATATATATATATATATATATATATATATATATATACAGTGTATATATATATATTGATCACGTAATGTAAACAGAGAGCGCTGGTGTAAACCGTTATTATTCCTCACTGCGAAACATTCTTTTTACTTATTCTTTTCATACAGTATTTATGGATAACAGCTAAATTTGCAAAAAATACAAAAATTTGTAGAGTACCTCTCAAAAAACACTTCACAAACAAAAGACACGAATCAATTGAACGTGTGATGTCGAACGTGAACTGTAAACATTGCTTAACCCCGCACCACACTCAAAGCATTGAGGATGGAATCAAAACATTGAGGATGGAATCGCGCTACAGCCAACATTTGTATGCAAAAGTTCGCGCTTTACAAACAGCGTTCCCCTATTCATCAATCGCGTTACAACCAATTCGCGTTGACAAAACACACGTTGTAGCAGAAATGACTGTAACTGGTATGAGGGCTGTGACGTCATTCAAGACGGTGGCCAGCATTCAGCTTGCTGGATTTTGCGTTCAGCTGGCTGGATCTCGCGAAACTCACGATATTTTACGCCAAATATAAGACTTGGTTACATTAGATAGTGCTCGCAAAATTAAAAAACGCAAAATGAAATCACGCAAAATATGAGATCTTATTGTACTTTAACCCCCCCACACACACACAAAAAAAGAATTACCTACCTTGTGCACTGCTGATCGCTGAGTGTACATATAGTCTTGCAGAGTTGCATTATTTTTGGTAACAACTGGATAACTCCCATGCTGAACAAGTCTGAAAGAACCAACCAGGTTATTATTATAATCTCTGTATCCTACAAGATACTTTCACGATCTTTTCACTTCACTTAAGAGTTGTACGGTAATGCAATTTTCATGCCCACATGGTTTGGTAGAAAAGCACCTAAATGATCACAATTTTCATTTCAAAAGAACAGCATCCATCTGCAAAGAAGCCTGGACATACTATTTTAGTCAAACTGATATGTTTAAAATATCCTGGGTATTTAACAATTCATCAAAACACCACAGCAGTTATGTGCTTTTCATGACACTCTTTTTGGAATCCTTCAATACTCTTCAGTATTGTATAAAATAAATGGAGGATTAAATTCTGATATCCCAGTTTATGGCTCAAAACATGGGGAATGGCTGTTTATTCAGCCCAATTCCAAGTACTGTACAGAATCAGAATCTGTAAACACCTTGATAAACTAGTTGAGAGCTGTTAAACAGCTGTTCCTGCTTGAGCTCAAATGCATCACAACACTCCTTCTCCATCATAACATAGAATCACTGAATACTCTCACTTCTACTTCTACCCATGTCATGTCATGCCCAAGGAAGTGGCAGGAATACTAAGTACCCTTTACATTCTCAGTCACAAAATGGGATTTCACATTTCAGTCATCTGTGGGTAACTCTGTCATGCAAAACAAGATACGATATTAGGGGGTGATGGAGAAGAACTCATAAACCCTAGGCTTTGGTTCCCTTCATATGATGGATTATTATATTGCGGTACCGTTTGAATCACAAAGTTAGATTTTGATGTCAAGTATGCATTTATCTTTCACTCACTCACCCACATGAGTCTCCTGGTTTCCCTTCACAATAGCATCTCAGTTTTTATGATACAGGGATTTCCCCCCCCCCTTAAACTTCACAGGCTTCACCATCTGTCTCTACCCCCAACCCCCAAGCTTGACCATCAGCAAATTTGTGATCAATTACTGGAGGCAGTAATAATAATTGCACTTAAAGTAAATACAGAAGTAACCAAATAATAATACAAGTGTCCTGTACCTCATATTAGTGTTGTGTACCTGGTACTGCCCACCTCACCCCACTCTCTCTACCAATGTGATGCCAAGCTGTGGTACTGTAAGTACCATTTATACTCTGTGTATAAACCAATCTCATATGTAGTTCGATCCTTGATTTTTTTGTTTAAAAAGCCTAGTTTTTCACATATCTCTTGTATAACTTGACTCTAGCTTTGGAGAAATACCAGGTATAATCCTACACATATTTTGTAGCAAGCCACATCAACATGTCTTGACCATGACCACCAGCACAACAGTTGACACTATGAACAATGTCACTAACTGCAAAACTGAATTCCCAACAGTTACTAACTCTCATTTATAAATGTAACTAGCTTCACCCCTAAAAGTAGCTTTAACTGTGCAATGTAACATTAAAACTTAAAATTATATACAGTGAACCATCGAAGATCCGGACTAAAAGGGAGGACCACTTGTCCGGAAAAGCTGATTGCCCAAATCTCCCGGCGAATGTACAAAATGTATAAAAACGATAAATAATTATATAAAAAAACACCCAAAATACAGTACATATTATCCTGACTACTTGGGTTAGTTATACAGACTTTTTCCTGTGGAAAAGGCATAATTTTGAGCAACATATTACTGTATTCATTTGTACTCGATGTACTACTGTATATTAAAGGACTAAAATTTTTATCTTTTTTTTTTTAAATATGTAACGTCTATACTCAAATTATTCGCTGTCTTGCAAGGATTCCAGCAATGTAAGTTATATTCTGCTAGGTTTAGTGTGTGACATTTTATAAGATAAAAACTTTAAGCCTTAAACTACCTTCACCCTGTTTTGGGAATGCTTTTTAGGGATGCTTCTTAGCCCTGAACCCCCCAAATTTTTTTCTGAATCATCCGAATAAACAGAGTCCGAATCTTCGATTGTTCACTGTATCCACTTTACCACATGTGGTAACACTACTGTAATCCCGTTGTGTAATTGGATAAGAGATCACATTAGTATCTAGAACAGGGATTATAATTAGCTGATGTAGAATAAATGCAAACCAGCCAAGTACTGTACTGAATTAAAAAGTGGCAGACTGAATTGACATCAAGATGATGGACAGTATGCCTTTATGTGTCTGGTGTGATTAGACAGACAGCTCTAGTAAGACTTGATAGGTTCTTGGGGGCAGCCATTACACTGTCACCTTCTTTGAGGAGATGTGATGGGGAGGGAGAGGTGATTGATATACCTAGATATTGTAGACTAACAAATCAACCTTGTCTAACAAAGGGGAGTGTCTTATCTTAGGACATCTGGACCTAGTAATTTGTACACTTATACGAATCACCTGAAATTACAGCAACAGCCAGAAAACATATACAGTACAGTATACAAAAATAGTATATGAAATAAAAACATGTATATCCCAACAGAAAATTCTTTATTCCACTTACACATGAACCTCTCGAACAGGGCACCCCGGGTCATCCATAAAGGCAGCAAATTCCCATGTTACTCTGGTCACCTCATCAGGAATGTGAAAATGGAAGAGGGTAACATCAGCATAGGTGGTGTATGGCTGAAGGAGTCCCTCCTGACTCACCTCTGGTACCAAGCTCACACTACAAGCTGCCAATTATGAAAACATAAACATTGATAATTTACCATATATATCAAATTGAGAAGTACACCCTTAAAAAAGTATTGTGACCCTTGCTGTACTTTACTTGGAACACAGGATGAAGCATTTTTATATATACCCTGGATATGATGGTACATTGGTATGCCTGCTCTTCTTTCCAAATCCATATGTTAGAGATACAAGTTATTTAGTGGCCTTCCTTGGATGTTTCTTTTCTGTGTCTGCCTTCCATTTCATTTGGATGATTGTTGGAGAACAAAATGGCTGCAACACTTATATACCACTTCGGTTCCGACTGCACAATAAAAGAATTGAATCCATGTCAAATCCCATGAACTGAGACCATCTTTCATACTTCGAGACCCTCTGACTAAAGGAGAATACGCATAGATATCCATAAGAATAAGTCTTTGAATTAAATTTATGTAATCAAAGGGTGGAGGAGAAATACAGCATGTATATTCCCTTCGTGTTTGCCCTGAGGACAATTATTTCTTTTACCTGTGTGTGTGTGTGTGTAGACACTACTACTCCTGTACTACTACTACTTTTCTGTCACTCGGAATCAAGTAAGAGAATCATCCAGCTATGATACAATGATACTGTAGAGTTACTACACCCCAACCCCCCCTTACCGATGTATGTTAAGCTAACCTTGTAACTCATCATACCCTAACCTAACCTAACATATTATGTATTTTCTTATGCGATTGAAAAATGTTTTGAGACAGAAATCCTGTAAAGATAATGTGTCTTATTGTTTAAAGTACTTAATCCCATAGTTAGAATCTTAAGGTTCCCCAAATGACCAAAACTAAAATAATACCAATATTGTTTGGAATGTTTATACTATGAAATTTGTTGTATGGGCAGCTAATATCCAATGAATTAGTTTTTGTGCTTAGTAATATTTATATATTCAAAATAGTATTAGAGGTACTGAGTTGCACAATAAAGCACAATTAATTATCTAATAATATTTATTTACCGAGCCGATCAGCCGTGAAGGTTGGACAACTACAGCTGGCTGGCAGCTGCCTCCCGCTGGGAAGTTCACCCCAACCAGAGACATCAGAACCAATCACAGAGCTTTTCACAGTCACGTGACCTTTTAGCAACTTTAACCCTTATTTTTGACACTTTTTGGCCCAATTTACTTTAAAATATCATCACCATAGTGAATTTAAGCATTTTCTTTACCCATTGACCTGCCATTTTACGAAAAAATTCCAACCGTCAACTCGTCCATTGGACCACATGGGGAGTATGTAACAAATAACTACTGAAGCTATGCTTATTCAAAAAGGAAGAGAACAGAATTATGACATTAGATTACAGTATATAGAATACAGTATACAGTAGAGTACAGTACAGTGAGTCCCTGGATTACGAACGGGTTCCGTTCCTTATATACAGTACATCTAAAATCACTTAATTTAAGAGAAAAGAAGAAATATAATGACAAAATACAGTAAATGAAAGTAAAAAAATAAGTCAACAGGTAAATAAAATACAGTAAATTTTTAAGTTTAACCCCGTTCATATCGGCGGACGTTCATAAGTCAGGGACCCCCTGTACAGTACAGTACAGTAGAGTACAATAAAGAACAATATGAAATAAATAGGAAAATCACTAGAATAGTTAACAGTACCAGTATACCAAGAACAATCCACAGCACTGTAAATAAAAGTAATAAATGGAGGTCTGAAGCCTAAGGCCCTATATTATGGCCAAGGTGCAGAACCTGTGATCTTTCCACTGTGCTGAACCCTGCACGATGAAGCCCATCTACCTGTAATGGAAATAAGCATATGATGCCATTATTGGCTACCCTTGGTTTGATTAGACTTACTGTTTACCATTGTTTGTATTGCTGCACTGTGTAACTACACCTTAACCCCTCTTATTTGCTCTTCACCATTCGGACCTCACATTAACCCTCTCTTGCATCATGATCCAAATTGTGTCAAATCATTGGTACCAGAAATCCAAAAGAGTACTTTCTGTTTAATATGGCAGAGGTCCAGCACCCCCCCCCCAACCTTCCCGACTAGAAAGTTATGTAAGGTTAAGTAGGTTTCTTTGGTTGGTTAGGTTAGGTTCTCTTAGGTTTTAGTAAATATCGCCTCTTTTAAAATACTGGTTAATATTTAGGGTGACATCAGTCAATATTGCGCATGCGTGATCCATAATTAAGTGGGTTTCACGCAGATAACATTACCTCACAGACGAAGACTGAAAAGTACATAAAATCAATTAAATCTAATTATGTCGCTATTATCCATCTCCGCCTGGTATAAATGGGGGTTCAAAATGCTCAGAATAAGGAGATCTAAATGTTTCGGTAGTCTATAACTTTCGAATGCGCTATGACCTAAAGGAAAAGAATACCGGTAGGTGTGTTTGGCTAGGTTGGTGAGGTCTGTTTTTCATACCCACTAAGGTTAGGTTACGTTTATTTTAGAAATAAGCAAATTTTAACACATTTTCACAAACTACAACAGTGTACACTATAAAAAAGTGAAATTGCTGCATTTTTAAAATTGCTTTCTATGAATTTCGGCCGCGGGTTAGTCATCAATAATAATCCTCAACTATTGTTCATTTTCAGAGGCAATAAAGGTTATATATGTATTTAACACGACGATTTACACTATAAAAACCCATTTTCAAAAGTCAAAAAGGTGGGGACAACTTCTAAATATTTACCAAAATACTTATTATAACGGTAAGAACATCTGTGGAAAAATGAACTAAATTGAACAACTCCTTCTGGTGGTAGAGCTGTTCCTAACCCAACCTCCTAACCGGACCCCCCAGCATATTATAGATTGTTTGCAAGGAAAACGTCACAGAAGAAAAATGTCTTAGAAAAGTCTAAACTATTGATTGCAACCGTAAAGTTCTCAAATTTCTTAGGGTGGCAACAAATGAAATAACGTCCAAAATTTTAGAACCAAGTGAAGTTCCAAATACAACTGAGGAGCCAGGACACAAGGGATAAAACCTAACTTACCACCATTTCTCATTATAAACAATAAAAACAATCCTTTGTTTTTCTTTTTTACAGTCCATATATAAACTACTTCTAATAAACATAAGCCTTACCAACTACATGTGTGTATAATGCCAGGAGAAACGGGTTATTCATGATCAAGTGAACACTACAGCTGACGGATCAGCTGACATAGCTTGGCACACAAAACAAACAGTGACGAGCTTCACAGAAAATGTAACAAAGGCACCAATGAAAACGAAATTAAAATAAAGGTTAAACACTGGTAAATGGGTAAATATAGGTATATTTAGTTATATTGTAGTGGATTTCTCCCCTACAAACGCTGTTTGTCGCTGAGTAGCCGACCCCACGAATTCCCCAGTGTATGCCTCGTGGTCTAGGTCAACCAGCGCCGCCATACATGATGGAGGTCAACTATTAAGCCACGCCTACCTCCGCTATATAAGACCTGACCTCGTGGTGCCCTCTCTCTTTTCTACCTACACCTCCTCCTCCGCCGCTGCCTGGCGGCCCTCGCTCCCGCCGGCGAGCATGGCGACCCACAAGCTGTCCTCCTCTGAGCATCCTCACCAACCAGCTCTCTCTTCATCACGCTTGTAACCATGCTGCCTTCCCAGCACCAAGCTGCATTGTACATCCAATACAACATGTATACAGAGAGCACATTGTGAGTTTCCTTTCTCCATCCCATCCTGAGTCTGAACCCAAACATCCCATACCCCACAAATGGTGACCCCCGGAGATTCGCACTCACACAGGATGGAGGAGAAACAGATCACGCTCCCAGTCTTCAAGCAACATGGAAGACTGGCTTATCCACACAAAGGCAGCTCTCATCGGCTCTACAGTTACTGTCTCTACACCGCAGGTTAGACACCCTAGAGCAGCACTGCTTCTCTAAGCAGACACCAGCTCCTCTTCCTGCCCCAAGCACCACGTCCTACCGACCCCAGCACACCCGTCCTGCCTCAGACGCCGCCCCCGGCCCAGCAGTACCCCCTGCCGCTCCTAATGCAGCCCCTGCTCCCGACGCGGCCCATGCGCCTGAGTGCGGACCAACACACCCCTCTTTTCTCCCTCAGGTACTCCCTGCTACTGTCCTGCACCCTGCTGCTGTCGTGGACCCAGCTGCTGTCACGAGCCCTCATCCGCTCCTGCTGACGCAACCCCTGCTCCTGACCCAGGCCCACACACCCCAGCAGGCGCATCTGAGGACTCTGTACCTGCCGTGAGGGAAGCACAACATTCATCGCCTCCACACCCTTTTTCTTCCTCTCTACTCCCACAGATGTTGTGTATCTAGACAGTTGTCTCCTCTAGCGGCCGGCTCATCCACGCGTCTAGCATTAAAAGTCCTCCATCGATTTACACTTTCACATCACTAAGACGATCTTGATGATCTTATGTAATCACTGTCCAATTCCTGCCGCTCAACATCGAAGGCCCGAATGCCGAACACGCTTTGTTACAGAGACGCAACACGACCCGACCCGCTCATAATACTTTTACCCTATCGGTGTCATCCTCCTCTCCTCCTTAGTTCCTTCTCCTAGTATCTTCCTTTCTCTATGCCATTCTCTTTGCCTCTTTCTTCTAGATTACTTCTCATGTCCCCTTCCATTTTCCTCTCCCCCTTCCCTAGCCTATTCCTCTTCCTCTCCTTATCTTACCTTTCTTCTCCGTCCTCCTCCACTTCTACCGGTCCCGTATCAGGCTCTATAGTCACCTCAAAATTCACTAACCTAGGTGACATTCCTTATAACCCATATCATTGTATCATAGCTGGATGATCGTCATACTCGATTCCGATTGACAGCAAAGTAATAAGTAGTAGTAGGGTGTGTTGGGGAGGGGGGGGTAGGTGTGTGTGTGTGTAGTAGTTATAGGTGTGTGTGTGTGTAGGTATAGGTGTGTGTCCAGATTAATTATGAAATTACTGATTAGTGACGCCGCTTCTTTCCGTGTTTCTTCTTACCCTTTACCTTTTTCATATGTTTCTTCTTACCCTTTTCTTTTTTCCTTTTCTTCTGTTTTGTGTCGGGATAGGAGGAGGAGCTAGACTCCTCCTCCGAACTCGATGATTCAGAGGAGTCGGATTGTGCCTGCATCCGATAGAGTTTTGTTCTCCGACATGGCTCGTAGAGCCTCGCTCTCACGGATTTGTACTTTTCCTTCAGCTTGTTATTGTGCTCGTGCTCAGAGGAGCTTCGTCTCCAGAGACGTCTTACCAATAGCCCACAACCTAAGCCGGCAACGACGACGACAGTGATGAAGACAGCCGTTAAGAAGATGACGGAGAGGGGGACGATGGGCCCTGTGCAGCTCGTGGAGACCTGGAGCGTTTGTCGCCGTATTTCCGAAATCTTTCGGATCCAATGAATAACCGGTAGTTTCCACACACCGTCAAGCTCTCCTGGGCAAAGCTGAGGGTGTGTGGTCTTTAGTAGTCGGCCCACCAGAGGCAAACTGCGAAGGAGTTCCTCCAGTGAAGAGCGGCACTTGGGGACGTCATACCTCTGACGAGACGTGTGTTTGTTGTCACAAAAGACCCGGCAGCATGTGACTTGAACCCGGTGAAGGTCACTCTCCAACCGAGTGCTGTAGGACCTCAATAGCAGGTCCGCTATGCTGACGATTACGATCACGGATAGGGAGGCCTTGAGGATCGTTTTTGGGCGGATCATTTTTTGGAAACTTGAATAAAAGGTTTACAAATTTTTTTAAATTTGTTTAAATTATATATGCAGAATTAAGGATGGGTGTATAAAGACCTAGATGTACTGTAGCTGGGAGTGTATGGGTGAGCAACTTGTGTTTTCATTTTATATGTCTGCAAGTATACGCTCTCACAAATTCTTCGATATTTACGTTGTAGTGACGTATTGTATCCATAGTGACGTTGCAGTGACGTATTGTATCCATAGCGATGTATTGTGTCCGTAGTAACGTTGTAGTGACGTATCCATAATGATGTTTCAGTGACGTATTGTATCCATAGTGACGTTTCAGTGAGGTATTGTATCCATAGTGATGTATTGAGTCCGTAGTAACGTTATAGTGAGGTATTGTATCCATAGTGACGTTTCAGTGACGTAGTGTGTCTATAATGACATTTTAGTGTCCATAGTGACGTTGTAGTGACGTATTGCATCTATAATAACGTTTCAGTGTGTCTAGTGACGTTGTAGTGACGTCAAGATAATGTGTGGGCTTGGTAGAGGGGGAGGGAGAGGAGGAAGTCAGGTGACCCCCAACAACAGCCTGTAGGAGACATGAGCGCGGGTAAAATTGGCCTAACTCTCCCACTCTGGTTAGATTACCATCGTCATCCCCAGGAAAATTGCCGCAGTTATTCTTAGACAGTGAGAGAGAGGGAGGGTATTGGTGTGTAAGCTGTCCCATTTATTATTCCTTACTCTTTATTTTTCCTATTCTTTTATTTCTCGCGTTTTCTTAATGTACTTTTTTCGTATTTTCTTATTCTTTTCGTATTTTAATTTTCTTTATTTTTATTTTTCCGTATTTTCTTATTCATTTGCTTTTCAATTTGTCCTTTTTGTTTTCCTCACCACAATCCATCCTATTGTGAGTGGGTTAGTGTCGGTCTATACTTTATTGATTAGAATATTCTCAACTTAATTATATTGCCACAGAACTGAACAATATCTGGTTGTCTCTTAATTTCCGATAGTCAATGTACTCCCGACTGACAGTCCCACTGAGAGAGTTTTACCTCTTTTACCCTTGACCTATCACACACACAGTGTTACAGTCATCTCCCCTTTCCCTCAATATTTGTTCCAGTTACCCCAAGGTAGGTAGATAACAGGTAGCATTATCATCTTCATTTTCATGTCAAAAGTAATTGCCCGTCTCCTTTTCTTTGGAGCACCACCAGCACTCTCACTTGTACGCTTTCCAGTCATTATAAAGTCAATTAAATACGATGATAACGTAAGTTCACAGCGCGATCAGTATAGGATACGATAGCCAAACACCAACTAAGCGCTGTTGTGGGGTATGGGATGTTTGGTGTTCACTCAGGATGGGTTGGAGAAAAGAAACTCACAATGTGCTCTCTGTATACATGTTGTATTGGATGTACAATGCAGCTTGGTGCTGGGAAGGCAGCATGGTTACAAGCGTGATGTAGAGAGAGCTGGTTGGTGAGGATGCTCAGAGGAGGACAGCTTGTGGGTCGCCATGCTCGCCGGCGGGAGCGAGGGCCGCCAGGCAGCGGCGGAGGAGGAGGTGTTGCTGGCTGGTTGGTGTAGGTAGAAAGAGAGAGATCACCACGAGGTCAGGTTTTAAATAGCGGGGGGTAGGCGTGGCTTAGTAGTTGACCCCCGCTCCGTGGTGTATGGCGGCGCTGGTTGACCTAGACCACGAGGCATACACAGGGGAATTCGTGGGGTTGGCTATGCAGCGACAAACAGCGTTTGTAGGGGAGAAATCCACTACACTGTACTGAGTGAGAGTAACCACGCGGTGACCCAAACCACGCCACGCTCTCGCTCAGGACGGAAACGTTTCGGTATAGAAAATGCGAGCGTCATTTGAAAATTTATTCGGTCACGACTGCGGCAGTCGTAAGGTCAGAGCAGGTCGTAAGTGCGGATGGACATAAATTGAGTCAGTCGTAAGTCAGGGAAGATTAGTAGGGTCATTACCTAATACCTGACCATTGTGGACTTGATCTCACCCTCCTCTGTATATATACACCTTGTTTTGTACTTCTCCACAGTCTGTACTCACCCCTGAAGATGTGAATTACACGAAAGCGCTTGGGAACTTCGTGTTTTCTTCTTTCCTTGTGGTTATCAGCATATATATATATATATATATATATATATATATATATATATATATATATATATATATATATATATATATATATATATATATATATATATATATATATATTATATTTTCTTATTTTTTATCCCATATTGTTTAAATTATATATATATATATATATATATATATATATATATATATAATTTAAACAATATGGGTTAAAAAATAAGAACATATAATATGAAACTATTAAATAACAAAATTCTTACATGTAATGAAACTATTACAGTTGTCAAAACATCATTACAAAGCTTGTACTTTAACGTGGCTTACAAGTAAATTAAATATTATATAAAACTACAAAATACGAAAAATGAAGAGCATGGGGGGTGTATATGTGGGAAGTGAATGTGTGAGGAGGTGTACATGTCTGTGAGTCAGCTGGGTGGCTGCCTGAACAGTGTCAAGTTGCCCAGAGCTAGTATATGTACATAAAATTTGTGCTATTATATTTTATAATGTGCTATGTATCACGTGGCAGTCAAACTTGCGATTTGAGCTGATTTTGGAGTATTTTTTATTTTTATTATTATTATTTCATTTTGGTGCCGGTTAGTTCAATCTGCTGGTTGCATGGATTCCAGAGAACTGAGATTCTACTGTATTTATATAAATGTGGGCTTCTACATAAAGTACCTGTACAGTGTCCCTCGGTTAACGAACACAATTCGTTCCAGAAGGTCGTTCGTTAACCGAAACCATTGTTTCAATGAGATTTTCGGTAATTGGTTCCAGCTCACCGAAAATTACATACAAAGTAAAAATAAATGCTTTAAAGTACACTTACTTTGAGGTGTGTATGTAGAAGGCTCCTGGTTGATGATGATGGGAATTAGAAGTGGGGGTGGAGGAGATGGGAGAAGAGAAGGAAGTGGGGGTGGAAGAGAAATCACCCCATGCTTCATGCCGTCATTTCACCTATAAAATTTTAAGTTCACTAGGTGTAATTCAAGATTATTTTCTTTAAATCAACACTGCACTGCACTATATATTGTCAATATGTAAAATAAATTTCAGAATGACCAATAATTGTACAGTAAAAACGTAAAAATAGTTTATGTTCAAGAGAGCCACAAGCAAGATGTTACCTCCACTGACCAGAGATACAAACTGACACCTTGCTGGGTGAGTCAAGTGGCTGATTGGTGCACCAAAAACTAGTTTCCTGTACTCCAATTATGTTAAATAAGTGTTAAAATGACTAACAATTTTAATATAAAACTTGGAAAATTATTGAATAGTACAACCTTCTTGATATTTACAGAAAATGGGAACGAATTTAAGCCCTAGAACCAATTATTGTATTGGCGGACTAATATTCCAACTGGTGAGCAAGCGAAAACATGTTGACATGATTTTGTAAAAATTTCGTCAACCGAATTTTTGTTCGTTAACCGAATTGAAGATTTTTATGGAAGGTAATTCATTAACCGAAATTTTCTTAACCGAGGCGTTCGTTAACCGAGGGATCACTGTATATCAATTATGTAACTTACACTTCTCAAATAAACTTGATAAACAGCAACTAAGCATAGCTTATCACTTCCTTCTCACGTGCTAGATGACATTCCTATGTCCTTCATACACCTCTGACTTGCACAGATCATCACCAAGTACCCAGCCCACAGTGGACTTAACCCGTATCTCACATGCGACAAACGTGTTAACCCTCAAAAGACAGGTGTTGTCACATAATGATCCAAGGACAACCGCTGGGTGCAGTCATATGACAATGAGGCATCTTTCAAATGTCCCGGATAAAATTTTCTCATTTAGCCCACCAGATGTCTCCTTAGCAACGCCTCAAGCCGATTAGAAAAGCCAATCACCATGCAATATGCCTCAGTCTGATACAAAGAGCCATGGAGGCAGGAGATACAACTTCTGCTCCAGCCTCTCCCCATGTGGGAACCAGTAGGGAGCATAACAGAGATAGCACAGCAGTGTTACCCCCATTTGTACAAATATCTACTTGAAAAATTTACAGGTTCTGTAGGTACATATGAGCAAACAGGAAGAATATGTCTCGTAAAAGGACAGTTGCCTACTATTGGTTAATTCGTCATTATAATAACATATTGTGCATATATTTTGGAAAATAAATAAGAAAGCCATATTGCATTTGTGTGAACATTAAGTACTCTGAGACAACTACAAAGAAATTAAGAGTTACAAGTGTGATGGTGGTGAAGATAACAAACTATCTACAACAACCACCACCACATGATTACATTACAGTGAACTAGTGGATTACTAATCATATCCAGTTCACAGGTGACTAGCAGATGGGATATACCATCTATATCATAAGGTGTCAGCTGGTGATATCACTAGCTAGATTACATGCAGTGGAAAAGATGTCAGAATGAGGGATGTTGCTGACTGCAAATGTTCAGTATGTGCAGGTAACCATGTGCCCACAACAAAGCTAGAGAAACTCAACATTACGGATGTGTCCCTGAACTGTGTTGATGAGTTCCGTTACCTAAGTGACATGATCAGTGCCAATAAGGGTGCTGAAGCTTGCTCAGTTGCAAAAGTCAGAAGTGGCTATAGGAAGTTCAGCAAGCTGCTGCCTTTATTGATAGAGGACCTTTCCTCTCAGTGAAAGAAAGAATGTATGTGGTTGGTGTGAGGATGACATAAGTAAACTTGAACGAGCTGAAATGAGAATGGTGAGGTGGATGTGTAATGTGACACTGAAAGACAGGCCGCCCTGTTCAGAGCTATGAGGCTAGCTGAGATGGTTTGGGCATGTGGAGAGAATAGATGAAACCAATTGGGTCAAGAGGTGCAAGGGCCTAAATGTAAAGGGGAGAACCAGGGGTAGACCAAAAATGATATGGAAAGAGGTTGTAGAAATGACAGAGTTAGGAACCTTACAAAGAGACTGCAAGAGACCATGCAGTATGGAGTGCTGCCATGAGGTAATCTGATTTACAAAAGGTTTTTGAGGGATGGAACCCTCTCATCAAATTGGGAATGTCTGTACAGTATAGCCAAGACAGAAAAGTCCTTAAGTTGCCCAATCTAATGCATCAGTTATAGAAGTACAAAGAAAATAGTATAACGAGAAAGTGGCATAAGTATGTTAGTCCTTAATAAAACTGAAAACCAAAATAGGTTATTCAATTCTGTTTATTCACATATATTACAACCACTTGTTCATGAAATTGTACCTCGTGCACAGAAAATGAGCGTTTCATGAATACATTATTTCAGCAAAGACTAATAATATGAAGACCATCTCAATTAAGAAAACAAAGTTGATGGAAATACTATATGATAAACCAATCAGCACAGAAAAAAGAAGCCTACACAGTTACATAAACTACTGCTTCTGATTTGTGACCAAACAAGATATTGATATTCTGAATATCAAAGAACTGAAAAAAATAAAAATAAAATAATAATAATAATATAAAGATTAAAGAGGGTACTAGAAATGTTAAGCAAAATCAGATACAGTGCATATAATATTTCAAATGCTTAAGGAAAATTAAAAAAAAAAAGTTGAAAACAAAAAGAATTTCTAACAAGTGATTAAAGGAAAGCAGGAGGATTAAAAGTGAAGCCAAAAATTTTGATGAGAATTGGAATTCAAACTTAAGACAGGTTATGTATTGTAACTAAAATATTTTAAAAATATCTTTGTAAAAAAAAGAAAAAATACAGAAGCTGCCTTAATGGAAGGCATGTAAATTGACAACTTAATACAATTCCTCGAAGGAGTTAAAATTCCTCTTTCTCTCTTCCACACATATCATGATAAGCCAAATTGGCATTTCTTAAAAACACATAAGAATGCTGTAAATATTTCTGGAACACACCACAACCAACTTCCCATGAACTTTTAAATATACTGTAGTTTCCTTTGTTCTTTATTACACAGCCTGTGAATATAAACTCTGTTAATGTACTGTACTTGAAAAAGGGACACAAAAAATATCAAAACACCATTTAAGACTATAGAGTATCTATTATGACTAACTTCTTGTAAACTAAAATTAAAGTAGCTCTGGAAAATCCCATCATATATTTACTGTACTTCAATGTCAGAAAATAGTTTTAAAACTTAGAACTAACAATTTGAATTTAAACTCTTTTATAGATTTAAAAATGTGTATAGTATATATATATATATATATATATATATATATATATATATATATATATATATATATATATATATATATATATATATATATATATATATATATATATATATATATATATATATATATATATATATATATATATATATATTTATAAATAAATATATATATATATATATATATATATATATATATATATATATATATATATATATATATATATTTGCAAATAACTGGATAAGTTATGTATTATATGCCTTTGTGGACCCCACCCCCATGCACTGGCTCAGCTCACCCAACACTCAACAACAATTACTTTCACCTGCCTGTGTGGACACCCTTCCAGTTGTGAAACCAACACTTTCATAATTTTCTTGGATGAAGTGTGTATTTTCAGTCACTCATTCTGCCTCTATCATACAACATTCAGGCATGAGTGGGTGAAATCACAGCAGTATTTTTTGCTTAAACTTATGCAACAAAGCTTTATATCAGGCTCATGTACTCAGAACCCACAAGATGGCAAGTAAATTCCAAACTCTTCATGCCATGTACTGCATACAGTACATACATATCATATTCATTTTAAAAATAGCTTCCTTACTTGGTGTTATCTCATAACTTTTACTTATGTTGGTTAAAATTGGTAACATACTGTTAATTCCACTGTGAAAAACTTTTCAAATTACAATTATTTCATTTGAGACCATCTTGAAATTTACAAGTTCCTTTAAAAATCTTCATATAAAGGTTCTGAGAACACAGCGCCCAATGGAAAGCTCTAATGAGCAACCTAGAAAGGGCCCAAATCATTAACATATCATAATTGCACTAACTCATTCCTATATCTCCATCAGCATCCTGTTGACAACTTGGCATGAGTGGAGAGCTTACAGAAATTTCATTTGGCTGCTGACTTTGAATCTGAAAATTTCCATTCACATTATGTTGATGTTGTAATTGTTGGTGCTCCTGCTGATGTTGTTGGTGCTCCTGCTGTTGTTGTTGGTGCTCCTGCTGTTGTTGTTGGTGCTCTTGCTGTTCAGGGTGCTGTTGGACTTGATGTTGGCCAAGATGTACAGGGGCAAAAGGGTTTGCAAATGTTGTGGTGGGAGTAGATTGAGTTGCTGATGGAGGTGATCCTAATTCCTTCAGGTTGACCATCTGCTGCATCAAGGCGAGTGTGCCACCTGAATCAACTTGCACAATCACCCATATTGTGTCTGTAGACAAAGAACATTATGTCACTAATCTGCCCTAGTAACAGCAAACTGAGTAACCTCTTAATAATGGTCAGACTAAGGTGTTAAGCATGTAATCCTCCTCTTATCCATGAATGCTGATGTTTCCTGTTTGGTTATAGTTTACATTCAGATTCCCAAATATAACGGGATTGCCTGCTATCTGTAGGACAGTGGTGGTGGGACATCAGAGGTAAAATTGTGAGGGCAACTCCACTGCCATACTATCGTGCTAAATACTGTAAGTAATCCTCCTTCATATCATGTGTGTGTGTGTAATAATAATAATAATAATAATAATAATAATAATAATAATAATAATAATTAACGGTTTATTGAAAAAGTTCTGCAACCCGAAGGCTGAAAATATACATTGGACATAAATGACTTATTTCATACAGTACATTGACATTGGTGGTTTAACAAAAGCTGAGGTATTATTTATTATTAAAAATGTAAGCCTACTGTTTTCACCCAAACATTTCTCAGAGAGGGAGGAGCCAGCGAGCGTGGGAAGAGGGGGGAGTTGAGTCCATTATTTGAAAGGACATTAATCGGCGACTGTATTTCTCTTAAATATTAATTGTGTGTGCATACCATCAAAAAATTAAGATGTTATTTTTACTACAATGTAGGTATTGTGTCTGAAAAAGTGGAGTTTGGGGGTCGGCCCAGTCTCTACTTCAATTAATCCCATATGTTCTGTTGTTCACTTTACGTGTTTCCCGCTTTACACGGGCCTACGTGGGTTCAATTGACCGCGTAAAGCTGGGTTACACTGTACTCGTTTTTTTTTTTAAATGGCGGTCGTTTTTTTTTATTTGCTCCAAGGCGGATAACCTCTTATCCCTGACACCCCTTCTCCCCAATTAGTCCGCCTTAGCGAGGTTTTACTGCAATTAATAAATTCTATTGCAGTGTATTTATCATCACTTAACAAGTAATATAGTAGTGTACAATATTATGCATTTGCATATACAGTAACCTGGTTTATTCATTAATCATTTGTCTTAGTGTACAAGTAGCCAAATTAAGCCATCCTATAACACTCAAAGGTAGTAAATAATGTTGTTAGGAAGGAATCTTCATATCAAATACTATACAGCGTGTTACAGTGCCCCTAATGTAAGCTGGTTTGCTGAAAGCGCTCACAGGAATGCATCCTGAGTGAATACCTTCCGATACAGCTTATCCTTTTATTTTTAAGTCATACTACAAATTACTGTACATCTTGTATTTTTCTCTATTATTGAAGATGTTATATTAACTATGATGAACCATAAACCATACGACACTGATCATATGAGAACATAATACTGAATCAATAAATAAATAAACCTGAAAAATGTTGCAACACTCGATCAACTCCTTCCCAGCCTGCTTACATATGCAGTCTCTTAGTTCTTGGTAGTCCTATAGCAAATCTGATTAGACCACTGTACAGTATTCAGTGAGCAAGTGTTGTTCTTTTCATAAGATTTTTTTCCCATTTCTTAAAATATGTACATAAATATATTTTTTAAGTACTTCTGGAGATCAGAGCACCCCCAGAGTCCAAAAAAAGCATATTCCGATATATTGAAGTCCGATTTATCAAGGTTTTACCAAATAATTACAAAATTTGTAACATATTTCATATCAGCAAAACATCATGAATTATGAGTGATTTCGAATTAGGGGGTTTTACTGTAACACTTGTTGATTGCAATGTGTAACTATCAATTAATAGTTACATGCTCGGGTGGTGTGGTGGCACTGGGCTCACTGTGTGGGTGCTAGGTCAAGGCTAGCTAGAGCAGTGGTATAATCATTACTCATTAATAGGATTGATTTTATCAAAACTTATCTTGAGTTAGTAGGTTAAGGGATGTTTTTAAATTCTGATATACAGGTACTCCTCGACTTACGACATACTCGACTTACGACAACCCGGACATACGACCACTGTGGTCATATAAAATATTTTACAAATTACGTATTTTCTAGTACCGACGTTAGTGATCGCGCTGTGTACCGACAAGATTTTCGTTTGTAATTCCCTTTAAAATGGCTGGCAAACATAAAAGTGAGAGTTCTCGTGGTGCTGAGAAGAAAAAGAGACACCCATTTTAGAATGTCTATGTATTATTTTCGCCTTTTCGACCAATTCGACTTACGACCTGGTCGTCGGGACGGAACCCCGTCATAAGTCGAGGAGAGACTGAACTCTTATGTGTCATTTAAAGTATCAATAAGAAATTACATATTACACTTAATGAGTAAGGCTCTTTACTGATAAACATTGAGTGCACCTCTAATGCAGGGACATGGGACATATGTACAGCAACTTATGATACATTAATACTGCCAACATGATAATGGAATGTCTGTGTTTTATTCATTGGTTTATCTATGCATGTGCTTGTTAACAGATTATTTACAGCTTAATAATGTAGATTGCAGTAGACCAAAGGATAGGCTGACCATAGCCTCTCCTGCGCCCCTCCTGACCTACCAATGCTCTTAACCTGATGTAGTTTTTTACAAAGTAAATACAAGAAATATCTTAGTCACCAGATAAATTTTGGGGGGCAGCATAAATCTTGAGGAAACCAAGTCTCACAAAACTTCTTAAAAACAATGGAAATGTCAGTTGTACACACTACCAACCCTAATATGTTATGGAGACGACATACTAAACAATGTAATCCTGTTAGCCAACTGTCACTATGGAAGGCACATTAATATCAGTCTGTTATTAGTAAAATATGATAACACTGCCAATTAGTTCATTATATAACTAAATTGCTCAACAACTAAAGAGAAACATCTTGGGTTGAGTATAGGTGTATACATATATCAACCATAAAAGAAAAAAAAATTATAATATCTTTATATTTACCTCCAAAAAAATTCCCTTGAGCAGTAGTCATCCGCCATTTGGAAGAATATAAGCCAGTTTGAGATGGTGATACCATCTCTACTGAAATATCAGCAACTTCCCCAGCTCCTAGAGATGAAACGGATACATGTGATGGTGCACCAAGTTGCTCCCCACCAGTGAATATCAGACTACAACCACTTGGCCACCCATCCTCACCCGTATTCTGGATACGCCACGTTTTTATGAATCTGAAAAAAATAAATAAAAATCCTCCATATATTATTCAACTTTAAAACAGTCCATTTTGTTTTTTGTTTTTCTTATCTGCAATGCTTCACTCCTCCAGGAACTTCCCTCTAGTCTAATGGGATAGCCAAATAAGAAAAGCCTCCAAGCCATCCTATTGTGTGTCTCCTCTGCCTTCTCTATTCCCTCTTCTCTTCATAATATATTGTTTTCTTTCTTTCTTTCTCTCCCATGATGTAGGCTGTCTCTCTCCACCCAACGCACAGGCTACTTTGCTCTTGCATGACACTTTTTGCAATACAGTACAATTGGTGCAGAGCATTTTCGGGAATGAGAGAATTCCGGGTAACGAAACGACTTCCTCAAAGCTGGTAAAAACCCATCCCCAAAATTTTCCAGGTACAGTACTGGGAAAATTTTCTCAGAATTTCCAGAAATTGCACATTATACCCCCAAATAATAATTATATATACAGTTGTACCCCGCTTTACGCGGTTTCACTTAATGCGATTTCTCATATACGCGGTGCCTCGCCAGAACCGAACTTTCACTTAACGCGGTTCATCTACCCATATACGCGCAGAGTGTCCGGCTCGAGACGCTATTTTTAGATTCGCCCCACCCGCCACCCACTCCCGCCTGCCGCGCCTCTCCCTCCTCCTCCTCCTCCTCCTCCTCCTCCCTCCCTCCCTCCCTCCGCCTGGGCAAGCTGCGCTGTAAGGTTGCACAGTGTGTCTTTGTTGCGTTATCACTGACGTCATATGACATATCGGACTGTGATTGGCCATGCATCCCTACCCCCCTCTGCTGCTAGCTGTAATTGGTTTAAATTAATATGACGTGTCCACCCGGGGAGGGAGAGGGGGAGGGAGAGAGGGAGGAAAGAGGACGCTGCCGCGCTAGTTTCATCCCTCCAGGTCACCCCGTGTATACGTGCATCCATTGTTCTGTGAAATGGCTTCCGCCGGACCACCACCGCCACCAGAGAGAAACCTTTCCTTACCTGGACCCAGCCGCCCTAAGCCCAAGAAGACACGCCGTGCCCTAAGCTACGAAGTGAAATACCAGATCATTCAAGATTTGGAGAAAGGAACACGTCAAGCTGATCTCGCGCGCCAGCATGGCGTCAACGAATCTACGAGTCGTACTATTAAGAAAGATGCAGCCAAGATTAAAGAACACATGAAAATCACAAAGTCTACAGGTGCTTCTATGATCAAGTATTGCCACAACCAGGTGCTTCTCAAGATGGAGAAATTACTTGTGAGCTACTTGATTCGTCAGGCGCGACGAAACATGGTGCGCTCTGTTAAGGAGTGCACATGTGAACTGTATGCAGCAGTGTCACGTAAGATGGGAATTGCAGAGCCCAAACCCTTCAATGCTTCCTCTGGGTGGTTGCAGAGATTTAAGAAGAGGAACAAGATCACCAACATAAACATTGGTGGTGAAGAAGCTAGTGCTGACCGTGTTGCGGCTAGGGATTTTCCTCCGTTTTTACGTGAGATTATGGAGGAAGGACAGTACATCGACGACCAGGTGTTTATCATGGACAAATCTGGTCTTTTTTGGAAAAAGCTACCTTCCAAGACCTTCGTTGTGAAGAATGACAGCAGGTGTCGGGGCCGGAAGTTGCAGGAGCGCATCACTGTCCTGTTTACCACCAATGCCTCCGGTACCTGTAAGCTCAAGTTATCGGTGATCCACACAGCACGCAAGCCGCGCGCCTACAAGAGCATGGACACGACCAAGCTAAATGTCCACTGACTGACTGCACGTAAAGCATGGATGTTCTCTACTCTGTCCCTCTCCTGGTTTGATGACTGTTTCGTTCCCAACGTGAAGAAATTCTGTGAGCAACAGAATGTTCCATTCAACATTTTGTTGCTGCTTGACAACGCACCAGGACACTCGCCCCTACTGTTAGATCGTCACCCCAACATAAAAGTGGCCTTCCTTCCTCCCAACACTACGTCATTAATACAGCCCATGGACCAAGAATTGATCTGTAATGTGAAAGCTGCATTCTCTGCAAAGAAATTTAAGCTCCTGAACGACTACACCAACACCAAGGATGAGTTGCATAACCTGGATGACACCGATAGCAAGAGCGACGAGGATGAGGAACAACAGTTGGCAGAGCAAGAAGTACTTGTGAAACAGTTTTTGAAGAAAATTCAACGTCAAGAAAGCTGTGGACTTCTTGGTGGAGGCATGGGATCAGCTGTCTGTAGCAAAGGTTCGTCACGCATGGAGACATGTGTTGCAAGGTATTCCAGGTGGGAGGCAGAGTCAATCTGTGACTGGTGAGGTTCAGACTGTTGCAGTAGCAGTGGACCTTGCCAGAGAAGCTGGAGGTGATAAGGGATCCTGATGTGACTGCCGACGAGATGTTATATGATGATGACTTCAGTGAAGAGGCAGGTGGTGCGTCATTCCAAGAATAACGCAAGTTATCGCATAGTAATGTAAGGGGTGCCATCGAGTGTGTTGAGAAACTCAAGTTCCTCCTTTCCGACGACCCTGACGATAACCGATATGAAGTCTTCACCACCCAGCTGTTGCAGACTATGGAGCCCTACATCAAGGTGTATCACGACAACATCAACACCAGCCGTCAGCAAAGCATTGCCGAGTTCTTTGCCCGCAACCCACCACAGCCAGCCCAAGCCAGTGACAGTGATGGTGACTTTGAGGGATTTGTCAGGGAGGCACTAATAAGTGTGGATGACAGTGATGAAGATTCACCTGAGGGCCAGTAGCCTGCCCTCTGCCTCGGAACCAGCCTCCATTCCCGTACGCCGACCCATCTCTTCTACAAACGTAAGTGTTAACCTTAACCTTGTTTTTTCTAACCTAACCTACAGTATATTATTCTCTTATTGATTGTTCCCTTCTATATTTTGTGTGTGTGCATACCATCATAAAGTTAAGATGTTATTTTTACTAAAACGTAAGTATTGGGTCGGGAAAAAGTGGAGTTTGGGGGTCGGCCCGGTCTCTATTTCAATTAATCCCATATGTTATGTTGTTCACTTTAAGCGTTTCTCGCTTTCCGTGGACCGCCGTGGGTTCAATTGACAGCGTAAAGTGTACGTAAGTCAAAACGCATGCTATGCGCTTACTGTACTTAAAGAACAATCATATCCTAAGTCCTCATATACATCTCAAGTCACTTAATTTAAGAAAAAAGAAGAAATAAAATGAAAAAAATAAATGAAAGCAAAAAAATAAGTCAAGTAAATAAAATACTGTAAATTTAAAGTTGAACCTCGTTCGTATCAGCGGATGTTTGAAAGTCGAACGTTCGTTACCCGAGGACTGGCTGCACTGTACTGCATATAAAGTGCTCCCAATATGGTTTGAAATGTTAATTTAATTGAGTAAATCACAAAGACACTCAGTTCCAAAAAATGTGTCAGCTCCATGTACTAATCACATTGAGTGTTGGAAGAAGATTCCTAAGAGCCTGTCTGATAGAAAAGTCCTTCACCTGAGCCCCAATATCATGGGCATTGTGAAAAGTACCGGTATTTGTGTAATCAAACTAAGACCAATATAGGAAATATTGTACCTGCACTGTGCTGTAAATCAAGACAAGATATATGTTCACTATGGAACAGTATTAATCCCAAGGAAAGACAAGTGAAGATTGACAACAGGAGGAAAAGGTTTTGTTAGCATGGGGAGGCAGCATGAACTGTTAAGATTTATTTATGAAGTTTTCATGGCCTCTAGGGACTTGAAGATCATGTCTACTAAGCACATTTTGCCCTCCTAACCTAAGCCAATCACAAGTTGAAATGGGATTGAACATTTGATCCTGAGCTTCTGGATGAGAAAGTGCTGCTTACAGTAAAAACAATACCTGACCTTGTCTGTCTGGATAGTTTATCCTGCCAATAAGCATATCAAGCCTTCCAGCTACTGGCATAATCTGCCAGAGTGTTTAACAAATCAGATCTCACATGTCATAAAATAAAGTTTCTGAAAACATAAATTGGTGAAGGCTTTAAATGTTTAGTTTTGCTGTGAAATAAATAATATCCTTAACACAGCTAAAAGCTAAACTTAATACAAATGGTTGAAGCCTACAGAACTAAGATTAAAATATTTGTCTTCATACATTATTACAATAGCAGCAACCATGGTACCTTATGCATGTTAATTTCCAGTATTTTTTTTTCATTTGTTAATCATTATCAAGTAGCAAATGGTGCTCTATACCCTTGAAACTTACAATAAGTGAAAACTACAACAATAGTGATTATATAAATAATCATGGCTGGGACACATGGACAAACACTGAAGTACCTTGTGCTAGGTGGAACACTTTCCCCTTCCCCAATTGTAATATCTTTAACAAAAGTCATTTGTGGAAGCTTGTTGAATGACTGCAGGTCGAAGTAGGCACAAACAGCTGCTTGCAAGTTCCTAGAAAGAGAGAAAATTCCATTGACATCATTATTAGGTACAGTAGGAAATGTAGTAAAATAAAGATCATGTTTCAACCTAATTGAGATATTTGTTATGGTTTGGTAAGGTTAATGACTTATCAAAAGCATTCCAAATAAAAAATTACTTGATATATTTCTCAGAACTTTCAAGAGTTAATTTAAACAAAGGAATCATCTTGTTTACAAGATTCATGCCAAAAGCCAGGTCCAGAGGCATCCAGATGAAGTTGGTTGCACTCTCATTGTTTTGCATTAAGATAAACAGCTAACTATAGATGAGGAAAAGAAACTACAAGCAGTGGGAATGCTGACAGTGATTTGGATGTCTACCACAGGATAAGTAAGAGGATGCTCTTAATCTTGTTGGTTCTTTTTATGGCCTATGTAGCCTTTTGAATGACATGTAAGAGATAAACACTGTTAAGCATGTCCTGGCAGAGGTTGCCATTTTTGTTGCAAGCAGTGAGTGTACTGCATCCAAGTAAAATCCAGATGAATCTGGTACCTGTAGTTGCCTCTGACACAGTGGAAAATCTGGATCATGGGAGTGTAAATTACTAAGACCTGCTCAATTATGAAGAACAATTTTACATACGGTAAGTAGAGTACTGTACTAACAAGAAGAAGTAATACTGCAATAATAACAGTAATTCCTTCTTTTAAATAAAGAAGCCAAAAGCTGAGAATACACAAAAGACAAACTGTGCATGGTATATTAATACCCCCAGTAACATGGAGGATAATGAGAGAAAGGGTTGTGGGACTCAGGCTTTTAGAGCGTATCTACTTCAAAAAGTAAATGTAGAGTCAATATATACAAGAATTATTTTAATCAAATATGAGTTCCACAATATAAGCACTGTAGTTGGAGCAAGGCTGTTCTTGTAGTAATCTGTGTTACAATGTATGGGTTTGCTGGTGTTGTGGCACTGAACAGCAATTTGTGGGCAAGAAACCTAAGGTGGCAGAAGGTTGTGGTGGTGAAAGGATATAATAACCTTGTCCCAAACAGACAAGGTCAAGAAGATGTTCCAAGAGAAATTAGAAGCAAAAGCTTCACTCAGGGGTAAGAGGTAAACAGTTCTAGGTGCTACAGCTACTGTACAGTTTTCCTTACTGTCATCCACTACCTGGGATTTACAGAGTACAATATTCAGCAAAACTCCATGACAGAATCCCAAGAGAAGAGGGAAGGGTCCATGCCACTTGTTTTGACTTGGTTATTAAGTGAGATTTCTAGGGTCATTATTTCATTTATTACCCGTATTAGATCAAGGTGGCCTGCAAATCTAAAAACCAATAAGAGAAATGGGAGGTGGGAAAATAAACTCTGATGCTACTGAACACCATCACCTCACGTGGCAGGCAACTACTTTACAAGCTCCTCAACACCAAAACATTCTTCTATTATCTCTTAGTACCAGGAATGCCTTATAGAGATCACTGCTGTACACCTGTCACCCCTTCTAAATAATATTTTAAAGGGATATGCTTCTCAGGAAGGTTAATGATGCTACAAAGCCCCCAAAATCATGTGCTCTCAAATTTCATACATGTGAAAGTTTAATTGCTTTGATTAAAATATTTAGACTCCATATTTAGGACTAAGCTTGAGAAGATATACCTGCTGGTTAAACTACTCCCTGATCCTAATATACTGTAGTTATTACTTTTTTTTACCATAAAAAAATGAATGACTAAATTTAAAAATTTTCCAAATGAAAAAATATCTTCTTAACATTTGCTTTAATGCAGAGAATAAAATATGCAGTGAATTTATGTGTGTTTAGACCGATTATGACCTTCATTTCCGTCGGAAATTGGTCGGGTTTTTTATTTATTTTTATTTTTTTTAGGCGTTTTCCGAGAAGAAAAACACTAGAAAAACATAAACCAAACCTAACTGACTCTCACCATATGATGGAATCACTTATTTCTTACCTTATTGGCGGTCTCTTCTTTGTCTTTGGGATAAGGGACGAGTTACCACAATGCCACATATGTTGGTCTTGATGATATTTACATTCGTTCTTGAACTTAGGACACTTTACTGAGGTCGGGAGAACACCATGAGATCTAAAAAATGCTATAGTTTCTTCGTTTTTTCCCAAAAAACTCGCAATCAGCTCCATATAATTTAAGTGACACCCATCACAGACTTCCATGGTCGGAAATGAATTTGAAATTGGAAATATGAGACCCAAAATAAAAATCGAATTTGATTGGGCCAAAAATACCGCGAATTAAACCACAAATCATTTTAATTGGTTGCCCCCCCCCCAAAAAAATACGCTTTTGGTTGGCCGCATGACATGTACGGGAATGCATGCGCGTGATGATTTATGAAGGAGACACGCAGTGTGGGAGTTGAGGCAGGCGATAATGGTAAAAGATTAATGGAAGAAATAGAGAAAAATTTGGAAACGCTATCTCCGTTATTATACATTTGCGATGGTAATGTAATAGATGAAAATTATCTTATAATTAGACGTCTTATTCGAATATGATAATAGATTAAGGGTAGGAATGTGGGGTGCGAAAATGCAATAATACCCAACTAACTAAACTAAACTAAACTAAACTAAACTAAACTAAACTAACCTAACCTTAACCTAACCTAGCCTTAACCTAACCAAGCATAACTTAACACCTGTCGTGGGTGAACTTACTGTTACTGAGACGGGGGAAGCGGCTGTGAAGTCCTCCATATTAGCCGAATAAATTATAGACACCCTGTACTTACTACAATGATAAGAACACTCGTGGGAAAAAAAATGTAATTGAGCAACTCCTCCTGGTGGTAGCAGTGCCATCATAAATTATCCAATTTTTCAATGAAGTTATAACAAAACTAAACAAACCAAAGATCTTGTACCATATTTTAGTTGAGTTACTTTGGGTCAGTAAGGTTTACTGGTTCCATTTTATCTTTTAAAAGAAATTGACAGCAAAACTGCATAGCCAAACTGTATTTATATGAGTATCAGTTCACAACAAAATACCAACTTTGGAAAGAAAAATGTAAATAAACATCCAAGAATATGTGTAACCTAATAGACCTTTGATTATGTAATCAGTGAATCTACATACTGGTTTATTCTCTAATGGCCAACAAATCATTTTGCATGTAAAAAAAAACTAGCAATAACTCACCAATCTGTCATCTCCAGATAAAACCGAGCAGAGTGTTCATTGAGATGCGCACCAACAAGGGTCTGTAAGTCCTTTATCAAAACTTCCTTGTCAGTGGTTAACATGCAGTTAAACTGGCGCAGGAGACTCGCCTCCAGGTCTTCATCTACCTCCATCGTACAACAATTACTGTATAATTATCTCAGATTTTGTTTTGGTGTTCACTTTTTTTTTCTTTTCGTCGCACACTTTGTTGACGACAGGAGGTGAAATGCTCCACTATAGACGCCACAATAAACACACCTCCAGTGTTGCTAAACAAACACTCACCATACTTTATTGTTTTAGTTAACACTTCCTAATTCTTCACTATCCTATTAACTACACTGCTTTAACACTATCAAATGTTTACCCATGCCCATATTAATAAAGACTCCTCAAAACTTCCATGTAATCTTAATGCGTAACTAGATACTGACCTTGGTAACACTTTGTTATTGTTGTTATAAAAAATCGAATCGCATTTGTAAAACAGTTTATGTTCTCCAATTCTGTTTGATCAGGATTGTATTGCCTTTAATGGACAACAACAAAAAATAGCATGCAAGAGGAAGGGTCAATTCTGATAGAAAATTTGGATTCAGACTCGAGGAATCGGGAAAGTAGTTCCAAAGAATATGGCGTCATATACTTATTTTAAATTATAAGAGTAAATTTTATTATTATTTGAGTAATAAACTAGACAACAATATGTGCAGAAATATAATACAGCAATAATTAATCGGTTGATGATGAAAGAGTGCGTGTATTATCATTTCGACGAAGCTATATACTGTACAGGTTCAGTCTGAAGCACCGTGGACGCCTGCCAATAACTACGGAGAATGAATCTGAATCTGGAATTTCAGTTGGAGACCTGATTCAGACTTCGGAGTTGGAAGCATACCCTCATCTCTTTAGATCAAAGATTTTCTATAAATCATCCGTGGATAGACCAATCTTAAATAGGTGCTTATTCAGTAAAATAGTTATTCAAGTTCACGATTGGTCAGCATGAATTTGTTTTTAATATAATTTTCGCCACTTATCAGCGTTACTAGCCGTTTGGGCGGTCTATCTGGTTGTAACAGAAGGAAACCTGGGCTAAACGGCGTTCAGTAGGACGATATATAATGCGGCTAAGCATGAAGGCTGTTCCTCGTGTTGCCCTGACTGCAAAATCAAAGTAAACGAGGCGATTACAAACCATAGGGGCATGAAATTCCATAGGGAGGGAAATAGATGAAGCTGGATCCTTGCTGGTTGCACTTCGGCACCTCAACTACCCTGAGAGATTGGAGCGCCTGAACTTGCCTAGCTTATACTACAGACGGGCAAGGGGCGACCTAATTGAGATGTATAAGCATCTCAAAGGGCACTACTCAGTCGAGTGTCCTTACTTGGAGATGGCGGACGCTCGCCCCACAAGAGGTCACAGCTCAAGATTGGAGCCAGCCAGGCGAGGGTGTAGTGGATTTCTCCCCTACAAACGCTGTTTGTCGCTGAGTAGCCGACCCCGCGAATTCCCCAGTGTATTCCTCGTGGTCTGGGTCAACCAGCGCCGCCATACATCGCGGAGGTCAACTACTAAGCCACGCCTACCTCCCCTATTTAAGACCTGACCTCGTGGTGACCTCTCTCTTCTAGCTACAGCCGCAGCAAGCTACACCTCCTCCGCCGCTGCCTGGCGGCCCTCGCTCCCGCCGGCGATGGAGTTGCTGTGTGGTGAGGAGCTTGTAGAGAGGAGGTCTTGTCTGTTTGAGAGCGTTGAGTAGAATAACCTTCATGGCGAGGCTGGGGGTATTTATGATTCTGCCGGAAGTGAGCGGCTCTGCTGATTGGCTGAGGTGAAAGGCGGTAACTGGCTAATCACCGCGCAATCTGAACGGGAGGCTTGGTCTGAGGAACTCGCCGCTGGATGGCTGGTAAGCGACAAATTGGCAGTTGTAGGGAAGAGTATCCACTACACTGTATTCAATGCTATCCACTAGGGTGCCGTGGTCTTTTAGGCCATGGAGACTGCTGCCAGCCTGGTGTCTTGGACCTTCCCCATCTCCTCTTCCACCTGGATTTGTCAACATCCTCCCACCAACATTACAGTGTAAAGATTGACGATCAACCCACAACTGATATACTAAAGTGAAAATTTCAACTCGAAAGAAAGAAGCAATTGTTACAATGACAATCAGTGCTTAGCGGTCAATGGTGACCTGACACACCCAGGGTCCGCCATACACCCACCAACACTACATCAGAAGAGAAATGAGGACTCCCTACTCCACCCAGTCGAGTAATTATGAATTCCCAACTACATCACTTGGGGAGCAAGAACCATCCCCAACACATGGTGGATGTGCTAAACATCTGCAGCTGTAGTGAGGGAGCGGCCCTTAGCACCTAGGTATAACAGCAAAGTCGGGACATTGAGAAAGATGATGACCTCACTTTGATGACGGTTCATTGTTAATGAGTGCGACACATACAAGAACATAAGAATAGAGGAAACTGTTTATTGTATATTTTCAGCCTTGTGGCTGCCCTGTTATCTAATAAACCATTAATTATTATTATTATTATTTATTATTACACACACACACACACACACAGGGGAATTGGTGGGTCTTATATGACGATGACGATGTCTTGAATGACTTTTTTACCTGGGTTATATACAGTTTCTCCTCGACTTACTATGGGATTCCATCCCATTAACCAGGTCGTAAGTTGAAAAGGCGAAAATAATACATAGAAATTCTAAAATGGGTGTCTCTTTTTCTTCTCAGCACCACAAGAACTCTCACTTTTACACTTGTCAGCCATTTAAAGGGAATTACAAACAAAAATTTTGTCAGTACAGTGCCCTCGGTTAACGAACACAATTGTTCCAGAGGGTAGTTCGTTTACCGAATCCATTGTTTCAATGGAGGGTAATTGGTTCCAGCTCACAGAAAAGTACATACAGTAAAAAAAAATGCAGTAAAGTACACTTACTTTGAGGTGAGTATGTAGAAGGTTCCTGGTTGATGATGATGATGGGAATTAGAAGTGGGGGTGGAGGAGAAGTGAGAACAGAAAGAAGTGGGGATGGAGGAGAAATCACCTTTCATGGGACCCATGCTTGATGCTGTCATTTTACCAATAAAATTTTAAGTTCACTCGGTGTAATTCAAGATCATTTTATTTAAATCAACACTGCACTGTGCTATATATTATCAATATGTTAACTAAATTTCAGAATGACCAGTAATTTCAAAGAAAAGTGCAAAAATATTAAGACACCAACAAAACAGATGTTCACTCCACTGTCAACAAAACCCAACTGACGCCTAGTGGCTGAGTCAAGCGTCTGATGGGCGCACAAAAAACTAGTTCCCTGTACTGCATATATTATTAACATGTTAAATAAATGTTAAGATTACTAATACAGTAATTTTAATATAAAAAATGCAAAAATATTAGAGCACAACTTTTTTTATATTTACTCCACTGGAAACGAATGTAAACATAGAACAGATTACTGAATTGGCAGACTAGCCCATCAGCTGATGCTCACAACAAAACGTGATGTTCGTAAGGATTTCGTTAATCGAAGTTTTGTTCGTTAACCGAATGGAAGATCCTTATGGGAGGTAATTCGCAAACCGAAATTTCGTTTATCGAACCATTCGTTAACTGAGGGACTACTGTACTGTTGTATTAAAGGAAGGTCAATAATAGATTGTAATATCATGGTTATGGATATACAGGTAGTCCCCGACTTACTCAACTTACGTCAATCCGCACTTACGACCTGCTCTGACCGTACTACCGTCCGCACATACGACCGCCGCAGTCGTGACCAAAATTTTTTTCAAATGACGCGCGCATTTTCTATACAGAAACGTTTCCGTCCCGTGCGAGAGCGTGGCTAGGGTCACCGCATGGTTACACTCAGTACAGCGCTTAGTTGGTGTTTGGCTATCATATCCTATACTGATCGCGCTGTGTACTTACGTTATCATCGTATTTAATTGACTTTATAATGACTGGAAAGCAAACAAGTGAGAGTGCTGCTGGTGCTCAGAAGAAAAGGAGACAGGCAATTACTTTTGAGATGAAAATGAAGATAATAATGCAATATGAGAATGGAAAAACTGTAGCAACAATCTCAAGCGACCTAGGTTTCTCGCACTCGACCATATCCACTATTCTGAAGGACAAGGAACGTATTCATGATGTAGTGAAAGGAACAACACCTATAAAGGGGACTATAATTTCGAAGAAAAGACAAGGTCCTATTCACGATATGGAAAAATTATTGGTGATATGGATAGAAGACCAAATACAGAAGCGTGTACCCTTAAGCCTTCTAACCATACAGGCTAAAGCAAGAAGCCTGTTCCAAAGCCTGAAGGAGCAGGCAGGAGATGAATGCGAGCAAACCTTTACAGCAAGTCATGGGTGGTTTGATAGATTTAAAAAACGCTACAGTCTACACAATGTTAAGGTGAGTGGAGAGGCAGCTAGTGCCGATGTTGGTGCTGCCGAAGCTTTTAAGGAGGAGTTAGATGATGTGATTGTGGAAGGGAATTATTTGCCTGAGCAAATATTCAATGTGGATGAGACTGGATTATTGTGGAAGCGCATGCCTGAGCGGACATACATCCACAAAGAGGCGAAAACAATGCCAGGATTCAAGGCATTCAAGGACAGAATTACACTTCTGTTGGGGGGAATGTTGCTGGTTTCAAGCTAAAGCCCTTCATGATCTATCATTCAGAGAACCCCAGGGCTTTTAAACATGTCAGCAAGCACACACTGCCAGTGTTTTATCGCAGTAACAAGAAAGCCTGGATGACCATTGTACTGTTTGAGGATTGGTTCATGAATTGTTTCATTCCTCGAGCCAAGGAGTATTGTCTGCAACAACGGATTCCATTCAAGATTTTGCTGATTTTGGATAATGCTCCGGGACACCCACCACACCTGGACGACATGCACCCTGATGTTAAGGTAGTGTACATTCCACCTAACACTACCTCTGTCATCCAACCCATGGATCAAGGTGCTATTGCTGCCTTTAAAGCGTATTATTTACGTACGACCTCCGATCAGGCTGTTGCTGCTACTGAAGGTGAGAAAACGCTCAGAGAGCTTTGGAAGGAGTACAACGTTTTGTCATTTATAAAGAACATTAGTGCAGCATGGGATCAGGTTACAAAACATTGCATGAATGGAATATGGAAGAAAGTCCTGAAAAGATATATGGACAGTTTTAGAGGATTTAATGAAAATGAAGTTATTTCGGATATTAGTAACAAGATAGTGGAGTTAGGTAAACAGCTTGAGTTAGAAATTGATAATGACGATGTTGAACAGTTGGTTGAAAGTGTAGCAGAAGAGCTCAGTAACAAAGATGTCATTGAACTGGAAGCACACAAAGAT